CGGAGCATCCACAAGCTTGTAAGCAGCGTGTGCGTGCTCCCAAAACCCGATATGGTCCTCTGCTCCCGCCGTATCTGCCCCTCCCACTGACCGTACTAATCACACCACCCTCTATTAACCCCCCAGTCTCCTCCCTTACCACTCCGCGCCCCCCAGACTGGACTGGCCTTGGCCTCAGAGAGGGCTCCCCCAAGTCCCCATAAGAAAGGCTGAGCGCAAAAGAATTGACGACTTTGAACTATTGTGCTGGAGAAGACTCCTGTGAGTCCCCTGGCCTGCAAGACGATCAAACCGGTCAGTCCTAGAGGAGATCAACCCTGACTGCTCTTTAGAAGGCCAGATCCTGAAGTTGAAACTCAAATACTTTGGCCACCTAATGAGAAAGAAGGACTCACTGGAGAAGAGTCTAATGCTGGGAAAGATTGAGGGCAATAGAAGAAGGGGATGACAGAGAAAGCTGTGGCTGAATGGAGTCACTGAAGCAGTAGGTGTGAGCTTAAATGGACTCCAGAAGATGGTAGAGGACAGGAAGGCCTGGAGGAATGTTGTCCATGGGGTCGCTATGGGTCAGACATGACTTCGCAACTAACAACAACAAAAATGTACTATAATGTATTTCTCAACCCTAGCAACTTTATGATGCATGCTGGTTGGGGAATTCTTGAGTTGGTTCACACACTGTAAATACAGTGGTATATAGCGTATTGTAGCGTATTGGTTCTTTGGAATTCTTGGGGATGATTTTGTTTCTGCTTTGAGATTATTCAAAGCAGAGATGTGCTTCATACTGTATATTTCATGAATCAAGTTTCACTGAGTCAAAATCCAAGATTACTTCTCTAAGGCTTAGCAAGCATCTTTGAACACTCCTCCTCCTCTTCCTCCTCCTCCTCCTCCTCCTCCATTTTCCCACAGGTGCAGGATCCACATTTTGGGGGGATCAACCAAGTATTGATCAACCAACACTTTCAATGGGCTGAGAGAAAGTGATTGGCTCAGAATCACCCAGCCAGCTTTTATGACTAAGGCGGGACTAGAAGCTCATAGACTTCCAGCTTCTAACTCGGTACCTTAACCACTGGACCACACTGGCTCTCTATCTTTGAACAATACTGTCCTCAGTCAAATGAATTTCAAATTCTTAACTGTAATAAAAAGTCATAAAGTAACAGTGAGCACAAATGAATCATGTCCCATTCGGTATCTTATTTCAGTTAGGCAAAACTGCAGATTCAATTTACTAATGGAATGAATAATGAGACTCACCGGAAAGAATCTCCTACACGATCCTTGAAATAGATAAAACCTTCATGGTCTTCCATCAAAAGATCTCCAGTATTAAAATAACTGTCTCCTTTCTTCTGCACATTACGGAGAATTTTCTTCTCTGTGTTTTTATAATCTCCTGCATAACCTTCAAACGGGAGTGCCTTACTTATCTGTATTACCATTAAACCTCCCTGTCCTAGAACATGAAAAGGGATGCAAGTGGAATCAATAAATTGCCTCACAACAAAGAACCAATAGCAACCAATAGATCAGAAATTATCTGATCATCCAATGATCAGCTGCCATAGGCCTTAATAACTTCCCAGAAGACAAAGGGAGATATCATCCCCAGCTTTTTCTCACTTGCACTTTCCTCACCACAGTGTAAGTATATGCTAGCAATCTTTTTGCACTGTGTCCTCATGACGTCATCATCATCCAATGTATCCAAAAGGAGTGTGACTATCAGCTGATATGAATGGTTAAGGTTCCGATTAATGGACCCAAACAATCAGGACTCCGAGGCTTGAAATTTCCTCAAAGAACATGTTTATTGGATACATAATATCAGCATGGTAAAAAGTGAAACCAACTCTAAACTTTCCGCCCAGGAATTCAATGTAACTAAATGTAATACTTCCCTCCCCCTACTATGCTATTGATCACACTACCCAATGAGGGCAATTGGTGGGCTCCATGACACTTCTTCTCTCCACCTTCCAGCACTTGTTGGAATGATCTTGGTTCCCACAGGATCACTCTGTGTTTCGTCTAGCAATCCTTTTGGTTTCTCCCCCCCCCCCCCTTCCTCCCAACCTGTGTGGCAACTGAGAATGACAATGATAGCTTCAGCCAGGTTCATTTCAGAAGTTGACAATATGTTTAGACAGACTATCTTCTCTTAAGACAATCCATATCATAGGAGAGTGATTGGTGGATATCCACATGCTAGCTGGTGATGTTTGGTGGGAGGAGAGGGAAACAATATTAGGAGAATGTAACCAGTTCCTGCTTTTAACATACTTGTACAGCACAAGTAAAGATGGCAATATTTGCTACCATTATATCTGTAATACAATAAAGATAGGAAACTTTACTGAGCTTAGCTTTCTGTGGGCTTAAAACTGAGAGATAAGACTTTAAATTGACCATGAAAAATAGCCCTCATTCATGTTTTTCAGGACATCCATCCCTCAACCAGATAAAGCAAGAGAGTTGAGCATGCACAGTTGTAGTAGGACACTTACACTGATTATATTGGTTACATCAACTAATTAAATGAATTGACATTTATTTTAGGGAGATAAAGCAGATTATACAACCTCCCCTTCCCTCCCCCTCCCCCTCCACACATATACATATAGACATGCACATGCACATGCACATACACATACTGCACATATTCATATTCATACTTTTATGTAATATCTGTCCCTGAGAAGCTTAGGTGATTTTAAACCTAAGATCTTTGACCTAATAGACCCAAGGATAACATCTGTCCATGGCCATCAGTCAAGATGTACTGCAGTGTAAGCTTATTTTGGTTAAAATCGCTACAATACCTTTTCCAGAAAACTCTATTGTACTCCCCTAAAGGTGCTTTTTTCAGGAGGAAACTGCACTTTCTTGTTTTTCTTTGAAGACGTTTCGCTTCTCATCCAAGAAGCTTCTTCAGCTCTGACTAGATGGTGGGGAATGGAAGCTTCTTCAGTCAGAGCTGAAGAAGCTGTTTGGATGAGGTGCGAAACATCTTCAAAGAAAAACAAGAAAGTCCAGTTGCATCCTAAAAAAGCATCCTTGGGACAACCATGACCTGAATGATTGAGAATCTCCGTAGACATCTGTTGTACTGCATTTCTTCCTCAGTTTTATAATTCCTTCTTAGCATTGCTGAGAAGAAAATATGGCAGTTTTGTTTTTGCTTTTGCTTTAAACATTTTGCTTCAAACATTGCTTATTTGAAATAATTTATATTATTATAATATAAGATATATTATATATATATAAGATAAGTTCAAAACTTGCAAGGACATGGTCTAATGCAGCCTTCCGAACATGGTGCCTATCAAACATGTTGCACTCTGGGTCCCATAATCTCTATGAACATAATCAAAAGGGATTAAAATCTGATATATCAAGATTTTAGAGCAGTGATGGCGAACCTTTTAGAGACCGAGTGCCAAAACTGCAACCCAAAACCCACTTATGCATCGTCGGGTGCCGGATGGGTGTCACCCATTGGCTGGGTGTGGCCCATTGGCTGGGCATGGGTGTGGTGATAACGGCAGACTGGGTGGGACTAAAATGTTCGATCAATCAATTCCAACTTTGCAAGATTTTTTTTTCCCGCAAGAAGTTGAAATTGACTTTTTTTTTGTACATGGCGGTGGAGGCCTAAAGCGAAAAGGTTTTATAAAACCCAGCTGAAGGCTTGGACTGGCGCGCGTGCCCACAGACAGGGCTCTGAGTGCTGCCTCTGGCATCCATGCCATAGGTTCGCCACCACTGTTCTAGAGGGTTTCTGATTGAAAAAAAAGATTGTTCAAATAGAGACTCACATTGCTAAAAGTATTCATTTTATGCTTATGGTGTTTTTTTTTTAGAAATTAGTTAATGTATTTATCAATTGGTTGTAGATTCCCGTAAAGACTCCTGAAGTTGGTAGTGATAGAATGGTTTTTAGGTCCCTTTCCTACAAGATTTGCCAAACAGGGTTAGTTTATGAATAGTTCCCTTAGGAAGAAAAACAAATATTAATAAGAAAAAAACCTCAGAACTAGCTGTTGTGTAATATATCTGTATTTATTCTCTTAAGCATTTCAGATACTCCCTTTATCAAAGAGAACAGTAAACAAGCATAAGTTACAAGGTCCCAAATATTAAATAAACTTAGTAGCCTTTTACAAGGACAAACATATGCACTATATGCAAGCACAGTATAATTAACATTATGCTGATGTAGCCAGTGCAGTTAAAAAAAACTTTATTATTAAAATATGAGATAGTCTAATCCCCCACCCACTCACTTCCCCTCAAACAATAGTAACCACAGTTACTATTGTTATTATGATCGGAATAGAAGTCTGTATCCTAATGATGTATATACTTTCTACTAACAAAGTTATATTTTATAAATTGTAGTTCAGAACTCCTGACTTGTGTCCATTTTGTACATAATGTCTCTTTATTTTAGTTTGTGTTTCTGATTTGTTTTTTCCAGCCATGCCATCTATGGTCTTAATACAAATACAATATGTGCTACATTTATGAAAATACTGTAGTGATACACATTGATTTGTCTTTTGCTTCACATTGAACCAGAAGCAAGAGAATCCCATATTTCCATTTCTACTATGCTTTGCTGAAAAGATTTTTTTTTAATTTCACAGATAGTACACTAGCACTAGGATATATAAAAAGAATGCCAGAAATCTTCTACAGAGAAAAGTGGTTAGAACCACCAATAAAAGGTCATCTCAACATAGTAATGCTTAGAATCTTCTAGCATTCTCATTCTTGAATCAAAATCCTTGCATGAAGCAATAGAAAGATGCAAGCCGAGCATATTATCTATGTTATGACAGCATGCACTCTGGGTCTTTGGTGTAAAAACAGTTGAGGAGTGTTCACTGGGTGATTGTTAAAAGGAGCAAGAGCTTGACTGCAATATCATGATCAAAACTCCATCCATTGTTCAATAATGTTCAATATTAAAAGGGTTGGGGTTTTGATTGCACAATCACAGCTGCCATCTTGATATTTTTTACACATGGTCTCCAAAACAGTGAAAGTTTTAGAAACTTTAAAAAAAATTTTTTTTTAAGAAGAGTGGATGTGTGAATTTTCTGTTAATAATGTACCATATTTCTACATGCCATAGACCAGGGCTACAGTTCGCTAGTGGGCCACGAGCTGTTTGCAACCGGTCTGCAAAGCCGAAAAGGTTGGGAAATTCTGCCACAGACCTGATGTTCCTGTGATTTATGGCAGTCGAAACCCAATTGACTTGGAGGAGCAGGTTTGAAAAGATTACACTGAAGGCAGAATATCTTTCTATGGAGTGAACTCTTGACATTGCAACGTTTAGTTTATCTTAAACGTGTCTAGCTTTCTGTTTGTTGGTCTGTCTTAGAAAACATACCTGTAGCTACTGGGATACAGAACCCCTTCTCATCTCTCACAGGCTGATCTGCATCCACATCATATTGCACAAGTTTATAGTTAAATAGTTTCTGAAATTGAACAGACAAGTAGAAATATGATTCCAAAATGGGCATTGATGACAGGTTTACACTTGTCTATATGGATTTAATGAGCAAAAGGAACAAGGAAATTCATGCTGGATAAAGAAGCCCAGCTAAACCCTACAGAGCTAAAGTCTCTCCCTTCATCCTCTGAACAAAATCTGTGGTGCAATGAGGCAGAGAATCAGGTATGTTGTGACTGATGTTTTATCACATTCTTTTGACTGGGCAAAATGAATTATTTATCCTAGGCAAGAGGACAAGCACTTCCATCAGACATCCCACCCTTACCTTTTGGTGTAATGGTGAAGGTGCTGGCCTAGAAACTGGGAGACTGTGAGTTCTAATCCCACCTTATGCATGAAAGCTGTCTGGGTGTTGTTGGACCAGTCCCTCTCTCTCTCAACCTAGCCCACCTTATACGGTGGTTGTTGTGGTGAAATTAGGAGGAGGAAGGAATATTAAATACAGTTGCCATATTGAGTTTCTTATAAAATAATAAAGGTGATAGATAGATAGATAGATAGATAGATAGATAGATAGATGGATAGATGGATAGATGGATAGATGGATAGATGGATGGATGGATGGATGGATGGAGGGAGGGAGGGAGGGAGGGAGGGATGGATGGATANGATGAATAGATAGATAGATAGATAGATAGATAGATAGATAGATAGATAGATAGATAGATAGATAGATAGATAGATAGATAGATAGATAGATAACAGGTGGATAAATACATACAGAGAGTTACATATTTATCCACTGATTTGCATCAGCCAATTAAGTGACCGGCCCTATCAGAGCAAGGATTTTTGAACTAGAAGATTCTTCAAAAGCTGCCCTAGCATTTTCCTGCTCTTGCTGTAGGAAGAAAGCAGCTATGTAAACCTCTCTGGAGTGCCTCTGTCTGGGATTATTTGGAGTAAAATATTAGAACTAGCATTATCCTCTCAATAGCTGACCATTCCATGTGCTCTGAGAGATTTCACTCCTAAGAGGACTAATGTACTATTTAAAAAAAAAAAAATCCCAGATCTTCCAAAACAAGAAAAGCTAATTCATTCCAATGATATCTGTGTATCAGTTACATTTCATGTGGCCTTTGGAGACTAATGATAGCAAAGGTTGAGGACAGGTTATTTAGCAGTTCCTCAAATTCAGAGAGAAGCTTGAAAGTGTTGGGTTTGGAGGCTGTATGTCTTTTTCTTAAAATACTCCAATTATGTTTCATATAGTTCTAATAGTTTATGACTCTATGTATATATTGGCTAGAGGTCTAAGTGGCTAGAAGTGGCCCAGACATTTTCTTGATCCATTTACAGACCATAAGAACTTCACATTACGTCTATGGAGATACTCAGTCATCCAGGTCATGGTTGTGCCAAAGGTGCTTTTTCAGGAGGCAACTGGACTTTCTTGTTTTTCCTTTAAAGACATTTCGCTTCCCATCCAAGAAGCTTCTTCAGCTCTGACTGGATGGTGGGGAATGGAAGGATTTATATTTCTTGCAGACAGCTGGTCATTTTCATCTTCAAAGAAAAACAAGAAAGTCCAGTTACCTCCTGAAAAAGAAGCTTTGGGACAACCGTGACCTGGATGACTGAGAATCTCCATAGTCATTTAGCCATGCACTTTGGGATAAACACTCTTCGAATGATGCGGAAGTATGAACAGATTTCCAGGAAACATTGCAGATTGCAGGAACCATTTGCAGCTCAGTTTGAGATGCAGACAACACAGATTCATCCCCAACATTCTTTCCTTGTCTTCAGTAGTGAAGGGACACAAGGCAGAAAATATTCTGCAGCCAAGAAGGCTCCACACACATTCGCACTACTTAGGTGACCCTGATGACATAGATAAGTCTCCAGGTGGCATCAACAACTCTCTAAAAGAATGCAAATGACCAGCTATCTGCAAGGAATAGAAACCCTTCCATTCTGCACCATCCAGTCAGAGCTGAAGAAGTTTCTTGGATGTGAAGCAAAACGTCTTTGAAGGAAAAACAAAAAAGTCCAGTTGCCTCCTGAAAAAGCACCTTTGGAACAACTTCGCATTACCTTAATGAAGAAATTGGTCTTTCCCACTGCTCCAACTTTTCCTACATAATTAATGAATCCAGCAATTCCTTCAGTAGCTCCATAAACTTCGTAGATTTTGATGGGTCCAAATCGATTCAGGAACTCATTCCAAATCTCTGTTCGTAATCCATTGCCAATGGCTGCTCGCACCCTATGGTCACGGTCATTGTCTCTCTGCAAGGTGAGATATCAAAGAAATTAGAGCTCTCCAAAATAAATACTGTATTAGCAGTGCCATGCCAACTGATCAGGCAGGGAATCAGCTTTTTAAGAGGTTGCTTGAAGAACAGCCTACAAGATGATGAGAAGTCCATAAAGATTGTTTACAATTAGTCTCTAAAGTCTATGAGGGGATGTTAGTTATTTCAGACTACAGTTGCATATCTATGATGCTGTTAGTATAGACAGATGGAAATCCATGTCACCAGTAAATAAATAAATAAAAGATTTGGTTTCCAAATTCTGGTTAATACCTTAGTACCACTGAATAGCATCTCTGAGCAAGTAGCAGGGACTCAAAGTTGACTAAGGCCTAGCAGAAATGTCAGGAATTACCACATTCTAGCATTTGTAACTGTAATGTATTGAGTAAAGTCTGAGAATTGACATGCTGAGAACTGTGGAAAAAATGGTTAGCTGGCCACGTGGCCAACAAGCCAGACTTTCTGTCTGCAGACTACTTTTTATGCATTTAAGTGGGAGAATACTGTGTTCCTATTGGCTGCCGCCTTTAAGCTAAGTCTATAAGTATGAGTGGAGCATTGGTTGTTAGTTTCTGTTTTGACTTTAAATAGAGTTGTTTTTCACCTACTGCCTCTTCAATGTCGCACCGAACAGAATACTTAACACTGGCGACGAAGGTGGGATCGTGCTACCTCACCATGAAGAGCTGAGTCACTCCAGGGGTTAGGCCTAGCAGACGCTTGGTCGGAACGGCGTTCCCCCCCCCACTCTATCCTACCAGTATGGAAACACTGGAGGAGAGTGCTTCCAAGAATCCGCCCTGGAAGACCCACGGAAGTCTGCGCAGCACGAGGCATTGAGAGGCCTGCGAAAAACTCACCATGGCTAAGATCGAAAAACTCTCCAAATTTGATGTCGCTCATCCAGAGAGGTGGAGGTCCTACGTCGCGAGAGTTGAAAACTACCTGCTGGTTAACCAAGTTCGAGACAATGGTCTGAAAGCCGTGACGCTGTTGTGTGTGTACGGTCAGGTGACATTCGACATCGCCGAGAACTTGGTTGCACCAGTTCCGCTCGAGTCCATTGCATACTCAAAACTTAAGAAGATGCTCAAAGAACACTTTGAGCCCAAGCTATCGGTCACTGCCTGGTGGCATGCCTTCGAACAACAAGACCAACATCCCAGCGAGTCCACTGCCAACTTCATAGCCACTCTTCATCAAACGGCCCGACTTTGCGAATTCAAAGACCTCGAAGAAAGACTGAAGGACCATTTCGTTTGTGGTTTAAGGAGTCGGGAGCTTCAACAGAATATATTTGCGAAAGAGACTATCTCATTCCAAGATGCATTACGGGAGATCATGGCCAAAGAAGCAGCAGGTGGAACCGTCAAGGCCCTATGGCTCTCCAAGAGCCCCCCTTGCACAGAGGCCGTCCACCAAGAGGATGCCGAGAGAGTCGAAGATGCCGAATCGGACCACGAAGTCAATTGGTTATAGCAACCACCTGAAAGAAGGCCCCAAGTCCAATTGACAAGACAGCTCCCTTTTCTCAATGTGTCAGGTGCGGAGGTCGACACAAACAAGCGGAATGCTGGTTCCGCACAGCAACATGCCGGGCATGTGGCAAGCAAGGCCACATCGCCGCTGTTTGTAGGGGTCGCAGGAGAGAACACTCATCAGAAGAGTTGCTTTGGAAAGGTACCGGGGTTCCCGGACAAAACAGGGTGGGCTATTGCGCTAGTAGAAGGAGCGTGTTTAAGATGGGTGCCCATTGCCCACTGAAGGAGAAGTTGCACCTCAAAGTCAAGTTGCAAGAGGTTCCTTGTGACATGGAGTTGGACATGGGATCAGCTTTATCAATAATTTCCCAAAGGACTCTCCAGCAAATTTGTAGTCGTAGTGGCAAGCGAGTTAAGCTCAGGCCGTCAAACCTCATTTTAATTGATTTCCAAAACTCCCGTGTGACAGTCAAGGGGAAGGCCACACTCGGGTTGCAGTTCAGGAATTTCGAGGGTCCCCTGGAAGTCATAGTAGTTGAGGACAACCGCACCCTCATCGGGCTTGATTGGTTTGATGCATTGGGAATTCAAGTGACCGGGTTAAATAGCTTGCAGACGTTGAGCCTTTCAGCAGTTTGTAAGGAGTTTGCTGATGTTTTCAGCCCAGAATTAGGAGAGTACAAAGGCCCCCCATTGCCCTCCAGCTTGACCCTACAATAGCACCAATAAGGATAAAGCCTCGCCGGGTGCCTTTCACCCTTAAGCAAAGAATCTATGCAGAGTTGGACAAGTTGTTGCTTCAAGGCATTTTAGAGCCGGTGGATAGCAGTCCAGGGGAAACACCCATAGTTACACCACTTAAGATGAATGGGGAGGTCCGCATTTGTGCCGACTATAAATGCATGCTAAATAAAGCCCTCCAGCAGCACTTGTACCCAGTGCCCGTAGTCAACCACAGTTTGGCATCTCTACAGGGAGGTCGCATTTTCGCCAAATTAGATTTGGCCCAGACCTATCAGCAACTGCTGGTGGATGATGCCATGGCTGAGGGCCAGACCACTGTAACCCCTAGGGGAGCCTTCAAGGTGCAGCGGTTACAGTTCGGGGATAGTGTAGCCCCGGGGATTTTTCAGAGCGTAATAGAGTGCATGCTCTGAAACATTCCAGGTGTGTGCCCATATTTCGATGATGTCCTCATAGCCGGGGAATCAGTCGAAATCCTGACTGACAGGCTTAGGGCCATCTTGCAGCATTTCCGCAAAGCGGGGCTGAAGCTAAAGCAGGAAAAATGTAAAATTGGGGTTACTTCAACAGAGTTACTCAGTTTTCGTATAGATGCCAAAAGCATTCATCCTGCTTAATCCAAGCTCAAAGCAATTCAGCAGGCGCCCAAAAATTAAGGAGCCCCAAAAAGGCGCCCAAAAATTAAGGAGCCCCAAAAAGGCGCCCAAAAATTAAGGAGCCCCCAAAAGGCCTGAAGTTCTCCTTCAAAAGGAGAACTTCAGGCCTTTTTGGGGCTCCTTAATTTTTATCACGCCTTCCTTCCCCACAAGGCCGTAGTGGCAGAGCCATTACATTGGCTCTTGGACAAGAAGGCTCAGTGGAAGTGAACGAGCATCCACGAGCGAAGTTTAGCAGTAGTTAAATCACTGCTGTCATCAAATGTGGTGTTGACCCATTTTAATGAGCAGCTGCCAATCAGCATTGCATATGATGCATCCCCGTACGGGATCAGAGCTGTGTTAAGCCATCTTAAGGCTGATGGGACACAAGTTCCATAGCCTATTATTATAGGACCCTCTCTTCAGTGGAATGCAATTACGCACAGATTGATAGGGAGGCATTGGCCATCGTGGAGGATATAAGAAAGTTCCATGACTATTTGTATGGCTGCCATTTCACGTTCTTCACAGATCACAAGCCACTTCTGGGATTGTTCACTACGAACAAGCAAACACCCCAGATTATTTCTCCTAGGATGTTGAGGTGGTCAATATTCCTGTCCGTTTATAGTTATTGTCTGATTCATAAACTGGGCAAAGAAATGGGCCACGCAGACAGCCTTAGTAGGTTAACCACCGCACTTAGAGCCAGACCCCGCTCCAGCTAACCGCATCCTGGCTATCCAGGATTTGCTGGAGTCTCCCCTTAACGCAGGGGATGTAGCTGCTGAGACAGCTTCAGACAACACGCTGAGCTGTGTGTTGAACTGTGTGCTCACAGGATGGCCAGAAATGTGCCCGGGGCCTAACTTTCAGAGTTTTTGGAGAAAGAAAAATGAGTTATCTGCACATAAGGAGTGCATTTTGTGGGGCAGTCGGGTCGTAATCCCAACCTCACTGAGGGCTAGAATCCTTGAATCTCTGCATGAGGGACATCAGGGAATAGTCCGGATGAAGGCACTTGCGCGAAGCTACCTTTGGCGGCCTGAGCTCAATAAAGATATTGAGGCCCAGGTCCACAGCTGCATTATTTGCCAGCAGTCAAGGCCAGAAATGCCACACGCCCTGGTCCACAGATGGGAAACCACACAAGCCCCGTGGTCGAGGATTCATATTGACTTTGCAGGCCTCTTTCAGGGGCAACTCTTCCTCATAGTAGTGGACAGCCACTCTAAGTGGTTAGAGGTCACTCCTGTATCCACTATGACTACTGCTAGGACCACTCAGGTTCTGCGCAGCATCTTTGCAATGCATGGGCTCCCTGATGTCGTAGTTTCAGACAATGGGGCTCAATTTACTTCTGCAAAATTCCAGTCCTTTTTAAGGGCTAATATGATTAGGCATGCCACCTCAGCTCCTTTTCACGCAGCCTCTAACGGCCAATGGGGCTCAATTTACTTCTGCAGAATTCCAGTCCTTTTTAAGGGCTAATATGATTAGGCATGCCGCCTCAGCTCCTTTTCACACGGTCAGAACGACCAAGGAATCCTTGAAGAGGATTGCAACTGGCAGATTTCTTACTCTGCCAACGCACAATGCCCTACACTTCTATGGGAAGAAGCCCAGCAGAATTAAGATGGGGATGGCACTTGATCACAAAGCTGGATCACTTACATCCAGACAGGGTTGCTTCACAAGCACAGCAGCCAAAGGCCCCAAGGCACTTGCAAGTTGGCAACCCGGTGTGGGCGCGGAACTATGGGCAAGGGTCATTGTGGGTGGTGGCTGTGGTTGGCAAGGTGTCAGGGCCGCTCTCATACAAAGTGGTCCTGGAAGATGGTCATGTGCTTCGCAGGCACATTGACCAGCTGCAACGGACAATAGCAAACCAGCCGCTAGCTCGTGACTCTGTTCAGGGGGAGGGGGAACATGATTGCGATCATGCATCCGAGTCCCCAAGCGAGGGCGAGACTTTTCAATTGCCTAACAGAGGGTTTGCAAATGGTGAGACTGCCTCTAACTCAGGCACTTTGGATATGGGATAATGCCATCAATCGGCTCCAAATGTCGGTCTGGTGGGCCCTACTCCACCGTGGGACACTGGCTCAGGTCTACCAGGACAGACCAGCCACAGAGAGATGGACACAGGCTTGGGTCTACCTGGTCAGACCAGCCTCCAAGAATTGGCTCTACCCATGACGAACGGAGCACACAGCTCTGGTCTACCAAGCCTGGCAGGCGAGCTCATAGACCAGGAGCTAACGGCAGCTCCGAGACGTTCAGAGTGGGCAAACGTACTTAAATGACTACATAAGATTTCTGTCATTGTAAACTTGAATGCTTATGTATTTTTGCCATTGGAACAGTGTAATGTTTATGCACAAGGTTATGTCATTTTGCCACTGGAACAATTGTAAAGTTTTTGCACAAACAGAAAAGGCTCTGTAAGTGTAAATGATCTAGGGGTAAGGGGTGTAATGTATTGAGTAAAGTCTGAGAATTGAGATGCTGAGAACTGTGGAAAAAACAGTTAGCTGGCCACGTGACCAACAAGCCAGACTTTCTGTCTGCAGACTACTTATTATGCATTTAAGTGGGAGAATACTGTGTTTCTATTGGCTGCCGCCTTTAGGCTAAGTCTATAAGTATGGGTGGAGCATTTGGTTGTTAGTTTCTGTTTTGATTTTAAATAAGGAGAGTTGTTTTTCACCTACTGCCTCTTCAATGTCATATCAAACAGAATACTTAACAGTAACTAAATGGTTGTTGCTAGAAAACATGTTGTTTACTATTCTTGTGACAATGACTATTCCCTCCCCACTCCTCAAGAGAAAAATGATTCTCTTCTAGTGTCTCCCAGACGCTCAACAAATATTTCTGCTTTTGAAAACTTCCTGTAATCCTTTCCTGGTTCTCCAGATCTATAAAAGATTCATTCAATCTTGGAAGTGGCCAGTTTCAAATCAAATTTGTCATACAAAAACAAAGCTAAGCAACCATAAACCTATTGTTACCATATAGCCATTTTTAAACTCCTGAGACTACTTTTCTTTGTTTTACCTCCATGTACCTGGATCGGTTCCCAAAGCTCTTTTTCAGTGTTTTGCAACCTACTAAGATCCTGATTGCTATGTGGAATATACAAAAGAATAGTGGCATTGCACAACAGCATCAGTCTACATGTACTACAACTATTGTTGTTGTTAGTTGCGAAGTCATGTCCGACCCATTGCAACTCCATGGACAACGTTCCTCCAGGCCTTCTTGTCCGCTACCATCTTCTAGAGTCCATTTAAGCTCACGCCTACTGCTTCAGGGACTCCATCCAGCCACCTCATTCTCTGTCGTCCCCTCAATCTTGCCCTCAATCTTTCCCACTATATATTCCCATATAAAGATACAGCACTATTCTTCTATGAAAGATTAGTAATAATACCATTATTTTTTCCTTTTACCTCTATAAATACATAGATTTATATATATATAAAGATATCTATATCTTCTCCTTGTCAAATATAATTATCAATTTTTGATGAAATGGGAAACAAAGGAGGGAATTGGGTTACATGAAGGGAGAAGGAATGGATATAGGAGAAAGGAATATATAAACACGTCATGCATTCATGACAAACTGGGCCTAGGTCTCTATGATATGATACGGGCCTAGTTATTTTTTAGATTGTTATCTGCATCGCCTAGACACTGCTATGTGCAATTTGGCAGGTAGTCCCTTATCATTCTTTATAATATCATTTTCTGAGGTATTAGTCCATCTTATCAATTACCTTTGGTGCATTACACAAGTAGCGCATCAGTTCTCCTACATACTGGATCACAGTGACACGGTAACGCCTGCAGTCATCCCAGTAATGAGAAACAGAGAACTTAGATCTCAGAACACATGTAGCCCCTTACATAAACAGAGAGAGAAAGTTCAGGAAATTAGTGTGATCACTGGGTTAGAACCCTGAGCTGAAATGCTCCACCCTGGACTAGATGACCTCCAAGGTCCTTTCCAACTTTATTATTATTATTATTATTATTATTATTATTATTATTATTATTATTATTATTATTATTATTATTATTATTATTATTATTATTATTATTATTATTATTATTATTATTATCTTCCCCCAGTTATTTAAAAAGGCCTAAAATGATTTGGATCTGGGACAGTTGAAGAAGACAAAACCAAGATATAAGTAAGATAAATAAATATATAAATAAAAGGTCTTCTTCTCTGCAACTTTCCTGCTCCTTTGAATGTCATTCTTCTGCAATCAAATATCCAAATAGGTTGGGATGAAGAAATAGGCCATTTAGGTTTATATATTTTTACAAGAATAGGCCATTTAGGTTTATAAGAAATAGGCCATTTAGGTTTATATATTTTTACAATTTATACAGTTGTGATCAGAAAATATTTGATCCACACATCTTTGGTCCACTGATCTATCCACCCACTATTCAATGATTTACAAGTTGTTTTCTGCTTCTTAGTTTAGCTGGGTAGTCTTTACCACTTTAAGTGTTCCATAAAACTGATATTATGACCTGCCCTAGAATTATCTACTAGGAATAACTGGCAAGAAAGATTTCAATAAATAAATTAGCAAACAAAAAGGGATGTAATTTTCATGTTCTTCCATTACGGAGATTGTGAGTTCAGGTCCTATCTTAGCCATGAAAGCCAGCTGGGTGTGACTTTGGGTCAGTCACTCTCTTAGCCCAATCTACCTCACAGAGTTGTTGTTGTGGAAAATATTGCTGTGTTTGATATATTCGCTGCCTTGGCTTATTTGTAAGAATAATAAAGATGGAATATAAATAAATATAAATAAACAAATGACACAATCATAGAAAATGAATACTGCTAAAATATCTATCAGTCTGTGAAATTCATGTATACTTTCTGGTGGCCTATGGTTAAAACAAGAAAAACTCCTCCCCCTCCCCCTCCTCCTCCTGCTGATCCTCACACTCCCAGCATTGACATTCATATCTTGACATGTCCATTTGTTGCCTTATAAGTACATTTATTTGCATTGCAAAACAGCTCCAAGAGAGGGAAGTTTCCTTCTGAATCTGCCAAAAGCCACTTAAAGTGTTCTTGGCACATCTAATTTTTACTAATTTTGAGGTTATATTNACTGGGAATGTACAGGTAGTCCTCGACTTACAACCATAAGTGAGCCCAAAATTTCTGCTAAGTGAAATTTTGTTCCATTTTATGATCTTTCTTGCCACAGTTGTTAAGTGAATCACTGCAGTTGTTAAGTTAGCAACACAGTTATTAAGTGAATCTGGTTTCCCTATTGACTTTGCTTGTAAGGAGTTTGCAAAAGGTCCTCACATGATTCCAGGACACTGCAACTGTTATAAATATGAATCAGTTGCCAAGTGTCTGAATTTTGATCACATGACTATAGTGATGCTACAACAATTGTGTGAAAAATGGTCATAAGTCCATTTTTTCAATGCCATAACTTTGAATGGTCACTAAATGAACTATTGTAAGTCGAGGCCCACCTGTATATCATTACTATATGAAGGTTGGTAAATAATTGACACCACAGTATAAGCCTTCACATTTTCCTGCTTGCCTCCTCCCATTTTTCTTAACTCCTTCACGCAGAGCTATTATTAGTTTGCTGGGATAAAATCTGGGGCAGGCTACGATGTTCTCTGTATGATATATTGATTATACTCTGAGAATGAAGATCTCTTTATGTGTATTCCAGGCTCCCTACTCTTTTGTGCTTACCCACTTTTATGGTCCCCAGAAGCCCAAGGATTCCAGCTGAGTGATACAGTGGGAGTGGAGTATAAATAACATCCTTGTTATGGACACCGGTCAAGTAAAACAGGTACGACCCCATTAATGCTTTCTTCTGGGAAATGACAGCAGCTTTGGGGAGTCCTGGAGGAAAGTAAAAAGAGAACAAGAAATAAAGGGTGCAATGAATTGAGAGAAAAAGCAAGAAATAATAATTTAGAATCAATTTCATAGCATGTTTGACTCCATGCCAGACATAGGGATTATAATATGATCCCTTTTTTGGCATTCACTGGCCAAAAAAAAATCACAGATCAATGAACTAAAGTTTTGCCGATTTCCATTCGACAACAGCATCAGCAGCTGACATGACATGATGATTATGATGTCAGGTGGACAGGTCAGGATGACATGATAATGATGATGTCTGATGGGCAGGAAGCCTTGCAGATACCAAGGAAAATGACTTGTTAATCTAACTTTGTCACTTGTTACCTAACCCTGATCTAGCCGCTAGGCCATGGGTGTCAAACTCACCATGTCACGTGACAAGTCACGACATATCACAACTTTTTTTCTATTGCCGGAGCTGGGGTGGGTGCAGCCTCCATATGATGCAACCGGCCTGCGGGCTGGCAGATTTTTTTATATAATATTTTATTAATTTTCCAGTTTTACATTTGAATATTTAAAAAGCAATGTGGTGACTGGGTTACAATAGTTCAATAACAAAATCTTAGTGCAAATCTCAGGTTACAACATCAAATATTTCTTCTCTTTTTCCCTTAACATTTACTGTCTCATATTCAGGTTAGTACATTTCTAATTATATCAACTCAATAAGAACATCATTATTACATTTATCAATAAATTTTAGCTTATACTTCTCTTAATTACATTCATCTTCATAAACAATCTACATCCTGTTATTGATTTTTACTCAATTTTTAATTTCTTATCAATATTCCAATTTAACCTTTGATATTTATAATTTTCAGACTTTGGGTAACCAAAATTTCCAAAATTCACTTCATAACAAACTATAATATCCAAAATACATATTTTATCTATTTGAATATTATCTTGTTCTATTTCCCATCATATTAAATCATCTAATTAATAACACAATATCCCCTTTAATAAATCAAAACCATTATATATATTGCTTGAATTAATCAATAAATCAAACATATTCATAATATTTAACTTTCTTTTCCCTTTTAAGTCTAATTTTTAAATATTAAGCCGATAAAATCCTTATTTTCAACTAGTTTCCAAATATTATAAATCTAATAACCAAATAACCAAAATTCCCCTTATCTCAACATCTCCCTTTAACCCTCTATATATAAAATATAAAATCCCCTCTAATGAGTCAAAATCCCAGTTTTTTCAACCTTATTCTAGCTTTCTTCTTTTTGCTAACTAGGCTTCTATATCAGCGCTTTTAAATCATTAAATAGATCTCCTTCTATTCTTATATATGTTATTTGAATTAAAGAAGACCATTTGATTGCCAGTTTTCTGGAAGGACTAGCCCATTTGTATTTGTTAAATTGTCTCCCTGTTATTCCAGTTCCCCATGTTTGCTCTAATATATTTGTCTTCAATTCAATCTGTTCTACTTCTTTCTCAAATTTCTTCTGATTTATATAGAAAGTCATTTTCATTTTCAACATTGTCACTTCCTTTTCTGGATTTTCCATCAGGTGTATTTGTTGGTCGATTGAGTCCTCTGTCTTCATATTTGATTGTCCCGCTTCTTCTGTTATCTTCTGCATTGTTGGTTCTTTGGTTGTAGTCAAAATTTGGCTTTGTACATCTAAGCTGGTATATTGATCTTTTATTTTAGGTCTTATTTTATCACAAGCTAAAAGAATGCTTTCATGTATTGCTTTCAACATAGAAAGAATCTTTTCGGGGGGGCAGGGCCAGCTGTCAAGAAGAACGATGTGTTGGATGATTCTCCGGAATGTCTACACTCGCTTTTGACCGTTTGACGGACCCTTCGAGGTCCCGGATTTCTTGGAGGGTGATCCGAAATCAAGAGGCGCCCTTGATCTTGGCAGTGGCCAAGATCAGCGGACTCAGGAAAAGCCTTGGAAAGCCGAGCGGAAGAAGGTGACGGCCCTTAATGGCCGCGAAGAAATGACAGCCAACAGCTGGCCGACAATAGCGGTGATTTAGCGGGATAGAGACATGACAGAGCCAGTCAAAATAATCCTGACATCTTAGTAGGAGTGATCCGGTGAAAGAACCTGCTGGAGGTTTCCTGGAAAGGACAATCCAAGGAGCCCAGAAGAATAAGAGGAGAGGAGCTTCCCTCCTCGCTCTTTTACTAGCGGCAAAAACAAAGTTCAGGCATAGAAGGGTTGCCTACATTGGTGCAATTTCACTTGTTGGAGAACTTCAAATTGACGAGGAGTTTTCTTTGCCTTCCTTCTTCTTTCTTTCCCCCCCCCCCTTTCTTTCTTTCTCTCCTCCCTCCCTTTCTATAAGGGAAGTTTAACTTCAAGAGGCAAAGTCTTTGTTTAAGCACGGAGTGAAAGCGTGGAAGAAGCTAAGGAAGCAGACATTTTGCCCTGAGACTGTAGACTGAGCATTAGAAACAACAGCAAGAGAGACACCTGCTGGTTGAATTGAGAACAACGCAGAAGGGAAAGTGGAGAGGAAGGAGGGGAAAGAAGATAAGAGGAAACTACAAACTTGTGACTTAAAACATACTTAGTTTTGGTTGTAAGTATAAACCAGAAAGCAGTATAAAATCTCTTTTCTTGATCTCAAAACTTAAAAGATACTATAAGGGACTATAAGGAAAATATATAACCATTGAACTTTTTGAAATGATGGATTCTAGCCTTTAATCAAAAATTGACTTGGGACTATATTTACTGATAAGCTTATTGTGAATATTGATTTTTGTTACATATATTGATATTTAGGGTTAAGTATATAATTGTATTCAATATATTTAATTAATAAGTTACTATTATACATAAAGCACAACATATTTAGTTTTAATATAGACAATTTAGATACTCTGGAGAGAAATGGAGTGACTGTAAATAAGTGGGGTGGCTGGTTTGCAGAGTTGAGAAAGATGACAAGCATCCCTAATCTTACGAGAGTTGGACTAGGGAAGAAGCAGACAACACATACCTCACCAATGGAACCAAGTCCAGCTAGGCAAAGATCCTTGGAAGAGATGACACAAAGAGACAGAGCAAATTCATTTAAAGATTTACAACTAATGTTGCAATCAATGCAAGAGGTGATGTGTAAAAATCATGAAGACTTAAAAAAAGAGATAGGGGAAGTGAGAAACGATACAGGGGAACTCAAGGAAAAGATGAGGTCTATGGATGGGAAATTTGAGTGTTTTCAGCAACAGATTATGAAAAACGAACAAAAATTACAGGAAATGGAAGAAAGAATGGGAAAAGAAGAATTGAGAGTAGACGAAATGAATGAGAGATTAGTTCAGGCAAACAGGGAATTAGAATTGACAGTTATTTCTCTGGAAGTAGAGAAGGCTGCCTACTACCTACGGATCCAAAATATTAGAGAAATGAAGGGTGAAGATTTACCGGTAATGGTGACAGATATTTTGGTGAGGGCCCTGGGGACTACTAAAGAGGATATGGCAAGTGAGATCGATGAGACTTATAGAATTCACACGAACTACGCAAGACGGCACAACCTCCCCAGAGAGGTCCATATTAGATTTGTTAAAAAATCTGTCCGAGATGAAATATTATTTAGGACCAGAGACGACCCACTGGAATATCAAGGCAGACAGCTAATTGTGCTTAAGCAAGTACCAAGAAGGGTGAGAGATATGAGAAGACCTTACCAACAAATAACTTCTAAATTGATAAGGAAAAATATTAATTTTAGATGGTTGGAACCAGAAGGGATTATGGTCGCGTGGCAGGAAAAGAGGTTTCAGCTGGACACAATAGACAAAATAGAGGAATTCTATAGACAAAATTTTGGAAGTGAGGAGGAATTAGTTGAAAGACAGGCAAGAGAAGAAGGTGAGACACCCGCCACAGCCCACAGAAGGAAAGGAACTACAAATTAAAGAGAAGGGAATTGGGAGTGGCGATGATATAGAGACTGAAAAAGACAATGGGAACTACGATGAGGATAGACCTAAAGCAACCAAAGAGATTAGATCAACAAGAATGCCAGTGGAAAGAGAAGTACAAGCTAAAGAGTCTAGACCAACAATAGTAACAAGATCTAAATATAGATAAAGAGGCAAAAGAAGGAATTGAGATTATATCCCTGAACGTTAATGGTTTTAACTTCCCACTGAAGAGGAAAAAATTTCTAAATAAATTGGGCAAGATGAATTTAGACATAATAATCCTGCAAGAAGTACATATTAAAAAACAGCACCAACATTTACTAAATTGCTACAAACTGGGAAAAATGTTTGCAGCGCTCTCACAACAAAAAAAAAGCAGGAGTAGTAGCATATATTAATGCGGAAATTCCAACAAAACATATATATAATGATGAAAATGGCAGAATCTTAATAATAGAAGTAATTTTGAACAAAATAAAAATAGCTCTGGTGGGAATCTATGCTCCCAATGAAGGCCAGAAACAATTTTATAAAAAATTACATAGCACTATTAGTGAATTTGATTATGACAACTTTTGTATAGTGGGAGACTTCAATGCGATCAAGGATAGACAATTGGATTATAAAAGTGATAAGACCAGAAAAGGAATTAGACCAACGCTACCTAGTACTTTCTTAGAAATGGCGGAGGAGTTCAACATTCAGGATATTTGGAGGGAGAGGAATACAGGGAAAAAGCAGTATACGTATTTTTCGGGGCGACACCTCTCATGGTCCAGGATAGATATGGCGTGGTTGTCAACAGACCTAAATTCGGAAGTGGAAGATGTTATAATTGATACAAATTCGTGGGCTGACCACAATCCAATTAGAATTAAATGGAGAGGGCAAAAGAAAACGAGGACGTGGACTCTAAAAAGAGCAATTTTAAACCACAAAGAATTTAAATTAAAATTAGAAGAGCAAATGGGCCTATTCTTCCAGATGAATAAAAAGGAAGACACAGATTCTCAAAACTTATGGGACACAGCCAAAGCCTACATGAGAGATG